CTCTCCAGCCCTGGCAGGAGTTGCAGAGAGCCAGGAGGTCACCCCTGAGCCTCTTCAGGCTGAACAAACCCAATTCCCTCAGCCCTTCCTCATAAAATGTGTTCTAGGCCTTTTAGATAAAAACAGCAGGTTTATCAGTTTTCCTTTTAAATCACAGTACAGAGATTTATACCTTTGTTTAGGCTCAGTGCATGTCACAAGTTTTAAAGGACAGGCAATGCAGCCAACACTACTGCAGGAGACTTCATTTTTCTTGGTATTTCCTTCTGAAGCTGCAAGAACCACCTCAGGCTTTGCCTTGCCTAGCCCACAGAAGGTATTCAGAGGAAGACACCACTTTCTTCCTTGTTCTAGCTACCCAGACCATAGTGAGCAACACATGGAGCACACAAACAGCTTCTACCAATCCCACCATCTCATAAATCATCAGAACTGTGGTGAATGAGGTAACTTTCACCCTCTGTGTCTGTACTGGCATTTCTGCCCCAGTGCCCCAGGAGAATTACAGCTGTAATTTAGGTATACCTTGGGACAAGAAGAAACTGAGAAGCCAAACTGTGTCTCCATTGGCTCCACAAAGCACAAAAATTGAAAGCCACAACCAAACTTCCATTGTTCAGCCCTAATGCTCTGTTAGCATAGAATTCAGTTTAAATTTCCTCTTTTTGATGACAGCTAAGAGCCATGAAATTCTAATTAAACTTCTAATTGTTTACCTTAAATTGATTAGAAATATGATTAAACTAATCAGAAACAGGCAGTTAAAATCAAAAGTGTGACTGTAAAAGGATTTACAACAGATTCAGAGGCAGGCAAAGCCCCAGCCCCAGTGGGAGGTTGCTCAACTGCTTAATAGAACAAGAGCCTTCATCTATCTCCCATCATTCCCTTTCCCTCAACACTGAAGGATATAATGTAAAATTATACTTTGTATAATGCAAAAGGAATTGAACAGATGCCAGTTTGTATATAGTCAGGGTCCATAGGGTAAAGGATGTATTGTTTTTTTGCAGTTGAAGGAGCAACTGATTGATAGAATGTGAAATTAGGATCAGTAACAGGCAAAAATAAATTTGTGAATAAATGCCCATATTTTAATGCAGTGAACATATTCCATCCCTTCTAGGAAGGTGTGGTGTTGGCACACTGGAAGTAGCAGTAAAAATGAAGCAAACCTTGAATCTGAAAAGAACTTGATCAGTCCTGACAAAGAAATGGAAATGAATTTTGTTTCCACAAAAGTGGTTGGGTCCATTACATACTGCTCCAGATGCCAACTAGGCATGATTTCAATTATCTGCATGTCATTATGAAAACCAGGTTTTTGAAACTTGGCCACAGAATTCATTAAGCATCAACCCCAATTTAGATGTCACCGTTTAAATTTCAAAATTTTAAATTCGCTTATCTATATCAAAGATTTTCTAAAAAAATGTAGCCACTGTTCGCAGTTTAGCACTGCCCTGATTTTCAGTGACACATAACTCAAAAGCAATTCAGAATAATTTCCTGAATTTTTTTTATGCATCCACAGTTTTTCAAATGAAACTAAGCATGAAAAATTTCAGGCCCAAAGGAATGCTTTTTACATAATACTGAAGTGCCTAAAGCTAGTGAATACATACACTTACTGAAATTATTTTCAACATCAGCCACTGCACTTATTAGGAAGTGACCAAGAACTGTACAAAATGCTAAGCAAATGCAAACCATACAGTATGTATGTGCACATGTTCCCTTTAATTACACATATCTTTGCAGGTTCCTGAGGGCTGCACATGTCAGATCAAGAAGATGTGTATTTGGTAGTGATAATGTGGCATGAATGACATCTGGAATGGAGTAGGGCAAACAAAAGTAAAAGCAGGCCAAAAGGTATCTAGAGAACAAGGGAATACTCCCTGTGGTTCACACCAGCGAGCAGAAACTTGCTTGAGCTCACATAATTCATCTGGGCCTGCTGGGGTATGAAAGTATGTGGTGACCTGAGGAATCTGCCTACTACACTGTACAAATCTGTTTGAGATTATGAGCTCTCTGCATACTTACACCATTGCGACTAGGCTGACATTTTAAACAAGGAAAATATGATAGATATAATCAATCTGGGCATCAGATATTCAATATTAAACTGGAGAAAATGGGGATTATTGAAAGAATTTGACAGGAAAAGAACTTCCTACCAGAGAGACAACAAAGTCCTGTGGAGAATGAAAGGAAGATTTTTTTCAGTAGAGTTCATCAAGAATGAGCTTGGCAGAATTTTATCTAATATTTTCATTTAATGAGTTGGAACAAAAAGTAGAAATGTGGTGATAACATTAACACAGAATAGTCATAAACTGAGACAGGAGAGATTCAGATTAGATGTTCAGAATTCTTTTTTCCCCTGTTAGGGTGTTGAGGCACTGGGATATTGCCCGGGGAGGTGGTGGAGTCACCATCCCTGGAGGTGTTTAAGAGGCATCTGGATCTGGCACTGGAGGATCTGGTTTAGGGTTTAGAGGTTCCAGCAGTGACAAGTTAATGGTTGGACTCAATGGTCTTAGAAGTCTCCTCCAGCCTTGATGATTCTATGATTCCATGGTTAAATTTTTTGGCAATGTCAATACAAAACCAAAAAGAAAAGTACTGTCAATGGAGAATGGACAGAGAAAAGGGACTCAGCTGATAGTATTGACAAAGAGAGTGAAATGCTTAAAATAAGACTACAAAAGAGCAAAATACACTCCAGACAGATATCAGAATAAGATTTTTTAATAGACAACATAAAATATAAAGACCTTTTGACAAGGTCTGGCTGTATTCTTACTGGAAATAAGAGATACAATTTGAGCCATTTCTAGGAAACCTCATGCAATCTGGAACAGATGCAAACAAGAGCTGAGTATATCTAGTGAGGTACAGAGAGCCTAGAATATGATGAGAAAATAAGCATGTCTGTGTGAAAGAGGGAAGGTAATTGTGTCTGGTGTATTTGCCAAGGCATCTACAAGGGAGCTGGAGAGGGACTCTGTGTTAGGAACTAAAATGATTATACAAGGGCTAATGGGTTCAAACAGAAGGAGGGGAAGTTTAGGTTAGATATTAGAAAAACATTTTTCCTGTGAGGGTGGTGAGACCCTGTCCCAGGTTGCCCAGGGAGGCTGTGGCTGCCCCAACCCTGGCAGTGTTCACAGCCAGGTTGGATGAGCCTTGAGCAACCTGCTCTGGTGGGAGGTGTCCCTGCCCAGGGCAGGGGGTGGGACTGGATGATCTGTAAGGTCCATTCCAACCCTTAAATTCTGTGATTCTATGATCTAGAATTAAGGCATTGCTGAGTGGGATGCTCTGTAATTGCATTTGTATGGTTTCAAATTAATGAGCTTAGGTGTGAGGAAGTAGGTTTCAAAATGAAGATAGAACTGTTATCTACACATAGGTTTGGCTTTGACATTTTTCTTTCCCTTTTTATTTTTTTGAGTATGAAATAACCCGTAAGGCATTAAAATCACAAGGGAATCTAGCCAGAACAAACCCACACACGTCCAAAATGGGAGACAAATTTGAAGAACATGCTGAAGAACTGCTTAGAAAGAAGAAAATTACAGAGGCTGAGCCACAGAGTGCGACAGAAGACACAAGTTTAAAGAAGAGTCTGGTCAACTGCAGCAAACACTACTGACAAGTCAAGAAGAATGAGGATAGACTACTGTTTCCGAGATCTTGTCATCGGGGAGTTTGGTGAGAGCTGTTGCAGTTGCAAGCAAGGAACAGAAGCCAAAGTGTAGGAGTTATAGGAGGGAATCACAGAAGAGGGTCTCCAGACACTAATTATAAACAGCGCCTTCAATGAGCTTAGGAATGAAGAAGAGATAGGCGATGAGATATGATATGAAGAACCAAGTAGGGTCAAAGGTGCAGTTTTTAAGAGGCAAATGCTTGCTTATATTGCAAGTGGAAAAGAGCCAGAGGACAGTGAGAGGTTAAGAAAGAGAATAAGGGAGGGAAGAAATAAGAGGAAGAACAGAACATGGGGTCAATGGGGCAAGTGGAAGGGGTACAGATGGAAAGGAGACAAGAAACTTCTGCTGCTCTGACAGTGGAGGAGAAAGGATTAGGGGAGGGGAGAGAGAAGAGAGGGACAGAAGGAAGAGGATACTGTTTCTATTTTTCTTAGGAGAAAGAGCAAGATCCTATGTGAAGAAAAGCAGCAGAGGAAAACAGAGAGGAGTTTGAGCAATAAGTTACAGAGGCAACTGGGATTTAACTTGGGGATTCAATTAAGTTGGAGAATACAGCTGTTTTCTAAAGAGATGGCAGGACTGAAAGAAAAAAATTATACTGCAATTAAAAAGACTGTCCTGGTCTCAGGATATTCACCAGAGACACTCCACAGTATGAGAGCAGAAGCAAATATCTGAGAGTTCACAAAGCGGGGTCTGTAATGGAAGTGTTTAATTCTAAGTATGTGCTTAAATCTTTGCTGACTCAAGGCCAGATGTTTTAGTAGCTTAACTGCATCCTTAGCATGCAGTCAAGAAAAGAGCCCATGAAACCAGAGGTGGGAAGAACAACCTGCAAGTGAAGGAATCTATACAGCTGCACTAGGAACACAAGGGTAGGTGCTTGTTCACTCAGGTTCTGTGAAATCAGAATTCCTGCCTTTAATAAAAAGTGATTAAGAAAAGGTTTTCTGTTTGTCTCATCTGGCAGATCTTACCCATTCTCTTATTTATTCTACAAATTTCACTGCAGGTGAGAATCAGTTGTTCTCCTAAATTGCTTTCTATGCGTATTTAAAAAAAAAAAACCAATTAAAAAACAAACCCCAACAACCTTACAGTGTAATATTTTGCACAAAAATGCTGAACAGCCTCTGGGGATGGGGAGGGAGAAGGAAGAGGAAAAGAGTTTTCAGTTTCTTCCAGTAAGCCAAAACCAAACTGCAATGTTCCACAAATGGTATAGACAGCATAAGGTCCCCACGATCAAGGTCACCAGGAATGATGATAATCACCACACCAACCCAGTCAATGTCCTGTGAAGTGAAAGACACAGAACCACAAACAGGGTAAAGGAGCAACCTTTTCTTAACCAACGTGTGTTAAAAGGGAAAAGAATCCAAGCAAAAACTAAGCTCCATGTTGTAATCAGCCCTTTGTCAGCTTGTTTCAGCAAGAGTTCCAGAGCCAGATCCACAGCTGCTACCACAGCTGGAAGCACAGAGCCTCCTGAGAAGCCAGTTGCAGACTCAGATGCTGCTGTTTCCTGTTTATTATTATAGTGTAAGTTCGCATATAATTTACCATGTTCGCTGCAGATGTATTTATTTTTATTGGATGTTTGTGCTAAAATGTGTATGCCTATCATTTGATGAATTCATATTGTTAAGGTTGATGTGCTCTGTCTATTTGCAAAGGAAGACATTTGTTAAAAACAGGCAATCTTTACTGCAAGGAGAGGGGAAACACAAAGAAGATTGTGGAAAAGGAGATTATTCCAGAAACAGAATCTCCAAGCCAAGCCCAAAATGTGTAAATAAGGCCAGAATTCTTTTTCCACATTTGACTTTAAAACAGAAAGAAACAGCCTCTCCATATATATAGTGGCCTTTTACAAGTAATATATATGCTATTCACAGTGAATACTATAGTAAAAATGTTTGTTATTTTTAGGATGCCCAAAAAACATTGTCAAATTTTGAGCCATGTTCTAGAAAATAACTACCTTCAATCCTTGACCAAATTGTTACTATAATGAAGGCCCACTTCAGCATCTACTTTTTAAGAGCTATCTTAATTAGCCGTGAAGCAATGAGTAACATACTAGCAAACACCTCTAAGATCATTGAGTCCAACCATTAATCTGCCACTCTGCTGGAATCCCTAAACCCTAAACGAGATCCACCAGTGCCAGGTCCAGATGCCTCTT